AATAACAAATAAAAAGTTCAAACAAAACTTGTGAAGGGTTTAACAGTGCAGCTAAAAAGTGTATTTTCAACTTATTAAACGAAATTTTCGACAATTTAACAACAATTTACGACAATTTTCTGTAACACTATAGCAGTTGCGCCCCCTACCGGTGAAGTTACAAACTTGAAAGTATTTTAAATCAATTTTCCAATTTGTTAATAGATTATTTACAAATAAGAAGTGGATCTTATTTGTGTAAGGGCGAAATGGGCGGTGACTATTAGACGCCTTCATTATAGCCATCTTTCTCTATCGCACGGATTTCTATGTCTTACTTTATCGCTCTTACGTAACGGCAGATAGACCATCGGTACTTTCCGAACCTGTATACAGCCGCTTCGTACCGTTAATGGATCACCCTGTATATAGGTATTTTAAACTAAATTTAGTAAAAAGGGTAAATTTTGGCTAGAAATAAGCTTTGTTTTTTGTAAATCTATATTTTATTTCCAATAATATTTAAATATTTATTAATCCCATATAGTCCAATTAAATGAGAATGGACTTTTCCTTGTACTATTAAGATTAACAGAGTTAGGGTGGCTAGAACTTAAAGGATGAATTCAGTTTAAAAAATCATAAGCAGAAAAATGAATTAATGTTGTAATTTTTTTTTCAATCTAAAAAATGTAAGCTTTCTTTTCAGAAAAATAGATATATTTTTTAATTTTTAATAAAATTTTAATTTTAATCGTTATTTTTTATCATTTAACACTAACATAATTTTTTTTTCTATGCCAATCGATTGATTATTTAAAATAATGAAAAGTTGCTTTGGAAATTTTGTTTTACGATAAAAATAAAGATAAAAAAATCATGTTCGTTTTGTGAAATTGTTATAACTTTTTTATTAAAAATTAAAAAATATGTCTATTTCTCTGAAAAGGTAGTTTACATTTTTTAGAGTAGATTGAAAAAAAAAATTTTAATTCATTCATTTTTCTGCTTATTTTTTAAATTTCTGAAATCATTCCTTAATTTTTAGTCTCCCGAACGCTGTTAATTTTAATAGTTCAATAGACCATTTTTATGTTTAATTTTTTGCTCTACAATTTTTATAAGAAACTTTTTTTTCTATCTCTTACCCCTTTTGAGTTATATTGGAAAACCCCTTTATTTTGTCTTTTTTCACCCCTGGCCGGGGGTTGAAAAGAAAATTACTGTCATTTGTTATTATTATAACGAGCGTTCAAATAAAAACGTGGTCAAGTTGGTTCTGAAAATTTGGACGTAGGGCGTAGCGTATAGCAAATGAACTTAAACGTCATCTGTCAAAGCGCTATATCGCCGCTATCAATTTGAATATTTTCGTTTTAAAAAGCGTTTAAAATGGTGTTTTCTCAAGAACAAAAAGTGTTTATCATAGAGTCCTACTTTAGAAATGGACGCAAGATTGATGGAATATGGAAGTATTCTATTGAGGAATGTTTCATAGAATTTCAAAATCAATTTCCCGGCGTTGTTGAGTACAAAATTTTTCAAAGTGCAGTTCAGCGTTGTGTTAATGTTTTTCGTGAAACGGGCAGTGTAACAAGAAAAGAAGGAAGCGGCCGACCTAAAAAGCGGACTGAAGAATTAAAAGAAAATGTCCAACAAATAATGGAAAATGCGCCAAGAACTTCTGTACGTGTTTTATCACAAATGGTGGGAGTATCAGTCGGTACCTGCCACACAGTGTTAAAAAAAGATTTGCGTTTGTTCTCCTATCGTTTAACTTGTCAGCAAGAACTTCATGAAGTTGATTTTCCGCGACGGGCTGTATTTTGTGAATGGTTTTTAAACAACTACGGTGAACTTCATAATATCACCTTTTTTTCTGATGAAGCCTGGTTTCATTTAAGTGGTTACGTAAACTCACAGAATATGAGAATGTGGTCTTCTGAAAAACCAGATAACTTTTTTGTCGAGGGCCCTCTACACGCTCAAAAAATTGGAGTTTGGTGTGCTCTCAATCGAAGGAGGATTTATGGACCTATTTTTTTTAATGGTACTCTTACTGCGCAAAGGTATAGAGAAGAAATTATCGCTCCTTTTGTTAACCAGCTGGAAGAAAACGAAATTACAAACTTTTACTTTCAACAAGATGGCGCAAGGGCACATACGGCAGGCGAGACGATGAATATGTTGAGGGAAGTTTTCCAAAATCGACTAATAAGTCTCAATGCTGAACATGAATTTCCACCGAGGTCATGTGATATTACGCCGTGTGATTTCTTTTTGTGGCCTTACCTTAAAAACACTATTTTTGAACTGCCTATTCCTGATTTAAACCATCTGCAGGCTCGACTTATAGACAAGATTCGTGAAATTAACAATACCCCGAGCATCTTAGAAAATGTCTTTAATTCTTTGAGGAACAGGTGTGAAAAGTGCTTGGAACAAGGAGGGGGACACTTTCAGCAGCTGCTTTAATTTATTGTTATAACAAGGAGGGGGACACTTTCCGCAGCTCCTTTAATTGTTTGTTATTGTTATCACGATTATTCTTTAAAATAAAGTTATATAGTCATTAACGTTATTGAAACTGACAGCTGCTATACAGCTCGTTGAGAAATGAGGTTAAGTTGGTCGCTATAAGCTACTCCCTACGTCCAATGTGTCAGAGCCAACTTCGACCACGTTTTTATTTGAACGCTCGTTATGTCTCAAACTAACTTATATCAAAAGTTTAGGCAGGTTGACCAAAATTGCGATTTAAAGACCCATTTAATTGGACTAATATAAGAGGGCCACTTGAAAAATAAATCCTTAAGATTCAGGAACAGATGAGATCTATCTATCTATCTAGCTATCGTGACGGTTTTTGACAGATGTGATGTTAGAACAAGAATAGAAGACATTTCTTTGAAATGTTACATTATTTGATGATGTCAATATGTCGGGTATGTGTTTTTTCTCTAATAATACTTACTTAAATAATTGTTAATTACTAGCTTGTGTATGCCTAGACGGTGTCAAAGAACATTGCTGACGCGGGATTAGAAAACGCGCCGTATATTTTTATAAATTGTTTCCAGCATCCGAGCCTAATCTCCTCAAGGTGCGCTTGAAACAGCGCGTGATGGAACGTAGATGTAGCCCAATGAGTAAAAGACTTCCCCCATCGCTCAAAAAGAAACTCCTAAGCTCCTGCTTGCCACCCAGCGACTCGCCCCCACAGGAGCCCCCCAAGGAGCTGAGTCCCCCCTGCGAATCCGAGGAGTACCAGCGGCACATGCTCTTCAGCAGCCCGTCGATGCCCAACATCTCCCTAGCCGCTCACCACGTCCTTTCGCCGGACCTCTCCGAGGCCGCCGTCAGGGCGGCCTGCACCGCCAGGCTGGGTGAGTACCCTCCCACCTCAATGATGAGTTTATAAAAATATCTTAGTCTTAACCGTAACTTTACAAGATTTAGAATTGCTGCAATTTTTTTTGTGCGTTTTCATGTATTGGTCACATTACCTTGACGTTTGTAACAAAATCCGAACAACAGTTATTGTAGAGTATAACCAGCCCTTAACAGAATATGTTGCAACAATAATACGAGTATTAAAACACCCTACGAAGGTTCAGACAAGATTTCAATATCATCAGATCTATCTTAAAAACTTCTTACTCAAAATTATAAATCATATATCCAGCCATGGATAATATAATACAATAACTAATAAATACATGCTCAATTTGTTTGACTTGGAGTTAAAAAACGGATTATACGTGTGTGCTCAAATGCTCTACTTTGCTCTTCACGAATGCGTATAGCATAAATACAAAAGCGTCCATAACTTGCGAAACCAATCACTTAGGANAAATTCAACACCCCGTATCCTTTAACCGAAGGCCTTGCGGACCCATGTTCATAGGAACTTTTTTTCTTGTTTTAGTGTCCTCTATTGTATGACACTATGCAATGTACTTTTTTCTATGTCACCCTGTATATACAAAACCCACACACCATCAGGTGAGGTTTTTTAATAATTAACAATGAAAGGTCTAAAATATCACTTTTTTGCTTATCAGAAAAAACGATAATTTTTATTATAATGTGAAATAACCAACTTGTAGGGAATAAAAAACCTTTAAAATGCGGTTTTTAAAATACGATACGATAATTTGTTGCTCGGGATATTGCAAAAAACTCAAAATTCGATTATTACTAAATAAACAATAAGTTTTGCAAAAGTCTACCTACGATTTTGATACTGCATAAATAGTTGGCTTTTATGGTCCTTAATATATGATTAAAATTTCAGACCGATTCATCCAATAGTTTTTGCATAATTCTAAATGTTTACTCAGAGGCATTATTTTTGCAATAACTTGATACGCAAAATTACCAAGATATTTTAATTTTGCGGGTGTCATATGAAAGAGAAAGACCTCTTTTATTAGAAGAAATTATTTTTTTTTGCTAAATATAAACATCTTTTGTAAATGTTTGTAATGGAACATTATAGGAATGATTAAATATAATTTTTTAATAAATTAATATTGCAATTAACATTTTGNAGCCCGTCGATGCCCAACATTTCCCTAGCCGCTCACCACGTCCTTTCGCCGGACCTCTCCGAGGCCGCCGTCAGGGCGGCCTGCACCGCCAGGCTGGGTGAGTATCCTTCCACCTCAATGACAAGTTTATAAGAAGATTTTAGTCTTAACTAAGCCGTAACTTTAATCTTAACCCTAGTCTTAATCCTAATATTTTTACTTCGTTTACAAAAATTTAATCTTGAGAATAGGCAGGGATGCACAGACTTATAGGGAACAGGTGCCACTCGGGAAAAATATAAGCCAAGGACGGGCCACTACAAACAATATTTATTAACACAAAATTTTGTATTTTTAAATAGTATGAAATACAATGATAAAAATAAAATAACCTAAAAAAATGTTTGTTGTAATAATTATGTAATCATTACAATGTAATATTTCATGTTTTATTATTTTGATGNTGCTGGCCTATTAGTTCCCGTTGTAAAGTGGAAATTCTTTGCGTTCGATTTTCGCCAGTTAATTTGGTAAAAGTTGGATGCTGGGTTTCATAGTGCCTTTTCACATTATATTCCTTCGGAATAGAAACACTACTCTTGCATATTAAACAGACAATTTTGTTATGCGATGAAATAAAAAAGTATTTTTCGGTCCAAATATCATGAAACTGTCGATTTTCATCTTCAACCTTACGACTACGTTTCTTACTGGGGCCTGGTTTATCCATATCAAAATTAATATTATATGTTACAGTCGGTAAAAGCCAAGTTCGAACGACGAAATATTTACTCGTCACAGATTACAGTTCTCAAACAGTATAACGTTCGCTTATCCGTAGTCAAAACTTAACTGCCCCGGTAGCCGGCGATGCGTCGTATTTATACGAGTTACCAAACATCGAGAACCATCCACTTTGTTCGGGGATCGACGTGTTTCGCGAATCTGTAATCTAGTTGATGCGACAGATTTCTAGTCTCGTAATAATATGCTTGGACCGGAGCGCGGCGAGTAGAATACTTTTAAAATTCGTTGGCGGGCCGCGGTATGTGCATCCCTGGAACAGGCCATTCAAGACTTGGCTTTTTGCACAAGCGTGTTTGTTTTGGTTCTAAGAAGTTAAAAGAGTTCAAGGTCAGGTTTTAAAACCTCCTTAGGACTAATTGTAAGACTAGGTTATGATTTTTATTTATTTTTACGCACACATTGAAATCTGTAGGTTTAATATCTAGGGCAAATACCGCGACTAAGTTAAGACTAAGTTAGGACTAAGACTTTTTTATAAACTCATAATCGTGACAAAATCTGTTTTGAAATAGTATGGAGTAATAAATCAGTCGTTTTTAAATAGGCCCTATACGTACCATATTATACAATATACATGGATATTATGGAAATTCTAAAACAGTGTTTTCATACAAATGTTTTAAAACAAACGACCGATGCAAAAACATTTGCCCCTAAACAGAATCAAATGTTAATGAAATGTTTGTTTGCTTGCCCCTGAACAAGGGCGGAAATAGTCTTGTCTGAAGTTTGGTATAGTTTTCATTTTTTTTTTCATCAATGGGAATTTTGCCACCTGTGAAAAAAAAAAATCGGTGTTTTCTGCTTTTTCCATTATGAGATTTTTGGTTTAGCAAAACTATTTTCATAAAAATAACCATTGAACGAAAATATTCATTCGGTTTCAATATTTCAAAGAAGCGGAAATAAAAGGGAAATAGCTGGTGGATGAAGAACAGCATCCTGAAAGTCGTGAGATAATTGAAATTAAATGCTGGATTTCGATTTTATTTTAACATGATGTTCACTTATTTCGAAACTTTAATTAAAAACGTTGTCCATTTATAAGCCATACAAGATTTTGAATTGCTGCCCGTTTTTTTTTTGCTTATACATGTTCAATTTGTCACATTTCCATGATGTTTGTAACAAAGGTACGTTATACTCACCGTATTTACCGTTTATTTATCAACTCACTTATGTCACAGTAAATCACTAAAAATATTGATTAAATACACTTTTTAAAAGAAGAACGCCGTCCGGGAAAATAACAAATCGACACAAATACGTCAACTCGTCAACGTACATATTATACAGGGTGTTCCACTTAAGAGGGATTCTTCTGTAACACTGCAACTGTAAAATTTATAAAAAAAATATTACATATGTCGAACTGTCATTTTTGGGCAAACGAGAACAACCTGTTGCGACACGTGGTCTGCCTAAAACAGCAGTAATCTTAACGTCGCCGTTACGCCACTTATCATAATCTTTTATTACTCCTCGTCATTTCGAAACAAGGTTATAGTTAACATTTCAACCAGGCATGCCGCTAACGGGCCAGATGCTGCCCGGTACCCTGCCGTTTTACCCCTCGCTGCCCGCCATTGAGAGCGAGCACGAGGAGACGCCCTTGGACACCATCAGCGAGCTGCAGGAGCCCCAAACGAGGGGAGTCATCAGGCCGTTAGGGAGGACGCAATCTTCACCGCTACCTCTGGGACACCCCCTGCTGGGGGGTCCGCCCCCGCCAGACCACCAGCCCCCGCAGCCGCCGCCCGAGGAGCAGGAGCAGAGAGATTTGGAACTGAGGGCCAATGAGTCGAGGAGGTGGGTAATTATAATTATTAAATTATAAAATTCTGAAAGTAGTTGTTTCTAATGACAGCGCGTCGTACTGCACTGGGACCTTTTGTAGTTAGTAGTCCCAATTAACATTTAGTGCCTATTAAAATTATCCAAAATAGATTTTCTTTTAGACCAAGAAATAAAGCTGAAAAATCATCGAGAAAATGTGAAAATTACTGGTCGTGATTTTATTGTTGGAAAGTCTTGGGAATGATAATACAAAGGGGGGCGTCTCATCTCGTGGGTCATGGAAAAAAATATAACGTCATTGTTTTTTATCAACAAATAGGTCAAAATTTCATTTTTCGTTCTACGCGTTATTGTAAAAAAACTATTAATCTTTTCAAAAAATGTTCTACAGACGATTTGATCTAGAGAAACTCATCTTTAAAATGATACTTTATCAGTTAAAATTGCTTTATAAACAAAAAATTGTTTGCAAAATTAAACGGAAAAAGAGCTTTTTCTTTAATTGTTAATAACTTTTTAAATAATTAATAAAATCTTACCAAACTTTCCCAAAATGTGAGTTTTTATATCCTTAAGAGATGCACAAAAGATGGGCTCGATCGGTCAAATAGTTTTTGCAAATTTCCATTTATTTATCCCATTTTTGCAAAAAAGGCCCATTTTGAAATGACTATTCCGGGGGTAGGGTTATGACTAAACACTCTTTTTGGGCTCATTTTCTTCGAAGGGACACCAAATATCCTATAGTTAAAAAAAAAAAATAATTTTTCAAAATTAAGTGGAAAAAAAATGCCAAACCCCGAACCAGTGGGCCGAAAAAACTTTTTTTTTCAATTTGTAGGTTTTTTACGAGCTTTCGAATGGTGTATATAACTTCTTTCAAAAGTTAAAAACCGCGGACTTATTTTATTTGTTTATTAAGGAAAAAAGTACCTTTTATTGGTTAACAATTATATACAACTTTTGAACAAAAAATTATTTTTTTTTAACGAGAGGATACTTAGTGTTGAAAATGAGCCCAAAAAGAATGTTTTGTAAATGGGCCTTTTTTGCAAAAATGGGATAAATAAATGGAATTTTGCAAAAACTGTTTGACCGATCGAGCCCATCTTTTGCACATCTCTTAAGGATATAAAAACTCAACATTTTGGGAAAGTTTGGTAAGATTTTATTAATTATTTAAAAAGTTATTAACAATTAAAGAAAAAGCACTTTTTCCGTTTAATTTTGCAATACATTTTTTGTTTATAAAGCAATTTTAACTTATAAAGTCTCATTTTAAAGATGAGTTTCTCTCATCAAATCGTCTGTTAAACATTTTTTGCTAAGGTTAATAGTTTTTTACAATAACGCGTAGAACGAAAAATGACGAATTTTTGACCTATTTGTTGATATAAAACAATGACGCTATACTTTTTTCATAACCCACTAGATAAGACTCTTGTATTATCATTCCCAAAACTTTCCAACAATAAAATCACGCCCAATAATTAATAAATTTCAAAATGTTTCCTGGTCTATTTAGGGATTTCATAAGAGATCCCTCACGAGATCCCTTTTGAGAAAAATTACTCTAAATTTATAGAAATTGATTAACATTTTAACTTTTTATGTAAGATATTGCTTTTTCTCTTAAACATCAGTGAAATCAATATTATAAAAATAATAAA